AATGGTTTGAAGTTGAAGGAGGGCAGATTGAGGTTGGATGTCAGGGGGAAGTTCTGTGCTATGAGAGTGGTGAGGTGCTGGAACAGCTGCCCAGAGAGGCTGTGATGCCCCGTCCATCCCTGGAGGTGTTCAAGGCCAGGCTGGATGGGGCCCTGGGCAGCCTGGGCTGCTATGAAACATGGAGGTTGGTGGCCCTGCATTGGTGGGGGGTTGGAGCTTCGTGATCCTTGAGCTCCCTTCCAACCCAAGCCATTCTGTGATTCTATGATGATACAGCAGAGTGAAAGAAGTGTGGTTCAGACGAAGCTTCAAGTGAAGTTGTGCAGTTGTACAGTGCAAACTGGAAGAGGACAAACATGGCATCACAGCATGTTCCCAGGCTGTGAAAGTTAAGTTGGACCCCTTGTGCTGTGCCGTCTTTGGGAAGTTGGGAAAACTGCTTTATTGTGTTAACAAGACTAGAACGTCCTTGCTAACAAGTCATGTAATAGTGAAGAAGTTCAAAACTGGACAGGTTTTTTTTCCCAGGTTTGTACCCAGGTTGAGTTAATTTCCAGAACACCAAATTCAACCTTAAAGATGTTCAAAGATATCAAACGACTCAGCTTTTTATTGGCAGAACACTGATTGAGTACTAGAATGATTTCAGATCTTAAAGCCAAGCTGAAAGGTACTTTTTGGGGGGAGGGAGAGGAAACACTTGAGAAGCATTGGAGAAATGCTCAGAGATGTGGTGCCCAGAGAAATTCACAGAGAGGTGGGGGTGCCCCTTCCCTGGAGATGCTGAGGATCAGACAGGATGAGGCTCTGAGCACCTGATGGAGCTGGGGGTGTCCCTGTGCACTGCAGCAAGTGGGACCAGATGGCCTTTAGTGGCTCTATCCAACTCAGACCATTTATGAATGCCCCTGTGAGCCCAGGTTTCATCAGTTCAGGAACCAGCAAGCAGTGAAGGTGTTGACTTTTTGCCTGCAGGTTCTTCTTAAAGCAATGATGTAGATGCAGTTTTTGTTGCCTTTAAATTACAGTACATGACTGATGTTTTTGTATCTATTCCCCTTCTCTCTCTTCCCTCAGATAAAAGAATACTTCCATTTTCTGCAGAGTCTCAGAAAGCCCGTGGTATGAGAATGGAAGGAGAACAACAGCTTCATGCATTTCCCCTTCCAAACTGTATTAGGGTGGCCTCCCCAGTGAGGGATTTTGATGTCTGCTTTCACCTCACTGCATTCCCAGCAGCATTGTGCAACTCACCTGATCTCAGGCAATTGCACAGCAGCTCTCAGGACCCCAAACAACAGCAGTAAATCTATCAAAGTTACGTTCCTGTTACTCTGCTGCTGGCTGACCGTGGCTGTGAGCTGCTGCAGGGACGCTGCAATGACGACGCTGTTGGCTAAGATCTCTCTTTAAGGAGGCTTGAGTTTCTGCTGTAGCTGTCTTGGCTTCCCTGACCATCGATGGGAATTTGATGGCAGGCCAAGAGCCTCTCAGAGCTCTGAATTAGCTCTTAAAGTGCTGTGTAAGTGCTAATTTTAATAATAAATAATAATAAAAATCACTTAAATGATCTAGGAAGAATCCTGCGTTGGCTGATAGCGCGTAGGTTATTGCCATCAGTTGGCTTGTAGCTGTCAATTACTAAACCCATTTGGATTGTACTCAAGGCACACACTGTGCTAACTTTAGGCTCTAGCTTTGGCCGTGTTGTGCAGATGAGAAATGGAAACAAGATGTGGTCTATTAGCATTGAACTTCATCTCCATTAATTATATCTAAATTTTAATCCAGATTTATGGCCTGCGTTTGGTGTTCTGTGCGTTGGTGCAGTCGTCGTTGACTTCACTGAGGTCTGTTGTGCACGTGGAGCCGATGGGCAGAGTCTCCATGCTGGTGTTCTCATGGCTTAGTTTGCATTCCTGCAGTTGGGTGACCACAGGTTTCCATGTGGGTGCAGGTAGGGGCTCTTTTAGCTGGGGAGAGGAGAGTTCTGCCTATTGCTGCCTTTGTGCTGTGAAGTCCTTGCAGTTTTAATCTCGGATGGCCCAGCTGCAGGTGTGACTGTGACCTTATTGTTACTGCTTTGAAGCTCTTGGGACAACTGGAGCAAGGATGAAGGCTTGCTGATACTGCTTGACTCAGTGCAAGTGGCAGCATCTGACTCTGAGGCAGCCAGGTTGAACTGTAGCATCTCTTTCTCTTGCAAGAAATGACAAGGTGATCTTTGGCTTAAAACCAAATCCATATTAAAACCAGGCAGTTGCTGAACTGTTTTGTGCAGCAGCCTCTAGTTTGAGAATACCCTTCTAGACAGGGATTCATCAAATTGGGGTGTCCTATAGTTTGTACTGGTTTAAGAGTCAGCCTTTGGTGGCTGTTTGTTCCTCAGTCTCGGGTGTGGGTGGGACTCAAGGCTGTTATAAAACTTGCAGGTTCTTCAGCTGAGCACAGATGTGGCAAACAAACCTCTGACAGTCTGTTAGCTTGGTGAATGCTCCTTTGATGGGTAAACCAACCCCAGCAGTGGGATTTTGCTGTGGGAGCGTTGCAGCAAGCGGGGCTGAGCTGCACTGAGTGCCTAACGGTGTTCTTCCCATAATCATATCAGATGAAGAGGAGAGAAAGGGGAATTTACCTTTCATTCTGTCATTGCTCTTAGCCCTGAGTAAGAATTTCTAACGTCTGGAAAGAAAACGTTCCAGACCTTTGGAATGGGGCAGGCTGGAAACTGTTGGGTAGGAGACTTAGATTCTGCTGGGGAAGGTGGGAAGGCAGTTCCAAATAGGAAATACACATTTTTGAGAGGTCTTATGCCTCCAACAGGGTTGTGAGACCAATCCCATGGGTGAACTGGTGCTGTAGGCTTCAGAAACTTGGCTCTTGTGTGCTGGTTTGCTGGGCTCAGCTGGGTTAGGTGCTGTCCTCACACTGATGAAAGTGATTCCTCATAGATGCTGCAGAGTGAAGTTGGGATGCTGGAAGGTGGTGTGAGAAGCAGTGCTTTGTGATAACTCGTGGTTGAAGCATGTGGCCTGGAGATCTTGGCCTCACTGCAGCAGGCCATTGGAAGCTGCTAACCTGAAGCTTTACGTAGCTGTGCCTCCATTGCTCCTAAATCTAAAGGAATTAGAGGCTGTAAAAGGAAGGAGCTGAGCAGCCTCTTCTCTGCTGTGCTGTTGTGCTTTGGTCCTTGGCTCACAGCAGATGTGTAACAATCCTTCAGTAAAATTCACCTTTCCTTCAAAGGGACAGAAACCTTTAATTTTGGCTGAGCAGAGGTGGTCATTAAAGCCCGTGTGAGAACAGCCTGGCAAAGCATTTGCTTAATGCAATGGGTAACTGCCCACTGTTTTACTGTTCTGAGCAGACCCTAGGTGAGCTCTTACTGCAGCAGCATGAATAGCATCTTAACAAAAGGAGGAGTTAATTGCAGAGCCCTGATTGGGAAGAGTGCACCTGGGCTTGCACCACAAGTTCTGTGTCTTCACATTGATTCTCATTTCCTCCAAGAAATATGCTAATTTCCAATCCGTGCTCGTTAGTTTCAGGGTGCTAATGACTCCTAGATCTGCCTTTTCCCATTGCTTTCTTCTGTGTTTTCTTCAACAGGAGGTGGCAATCTGAGTTCCTCTTGCCTTGCTGGCTTCGATGTGCCTGGTGCATTCACCATTAGGAGCAGTGAGAAACCTCTAACACAGCTGTGATTTCTCTTCTCTTTACAGGCTTCACAGAGCCCAGTGTGCAATTAAACAGACTCAGGTAACCGTTCAGAAAATAGGAAGGGAGATAGAAGAAAAGCTGAGATGCACATCTACAAGCAATGAACTGGTAAGTTTGGTTACTTAAAGCCTTATTCTATGCTGTAGAAGCATAAAACTTGAGCAGGAAATCATAGAATCATAGAATGGCCTGGGTTGCAAAGGAGCACAGTGCTCATCCAACCTGTTCCTGCTGTGTGCAGGTCACCAACCAGCAGCCCAGGCTGCCCAGAGCCACATCCAGCCTGGCCTTGAATGCCTGCAGGTTTGGGGCATCCACAGCCTCCTTGGGCAACCTGTGCCAGTGCTTCACCACCCTCTGGCTCAAAAACTTCCTCCTCACATCCAACCCAAACCTCCCCTGTCTCACTTTAAAACCATCCCCCCTTGTCCTGTCACTATCATATACATAAGAAGTTTATCAGGAAAACTGAACTTTAATTCTTCAAGTAACTCCTGATGGGTTCTTGTGATGGATTTAGAGTGAGGTGAATCTGCTGTCTGCATCTTTTTCCAACCTGCTCCCTTTGGGTGAATGGAATTCATGCGAAAGCTGTTGCTCAAGTGACATGTTAATTTTAAGCAGGAATTGTACTGGACCTTGTAATAGCTTTTGGCAGTTTGTTTTGCCTGACCTGTTGCCTTCCCCTTAAAAATATACTGGCACCTGCTTTAGGTTGTGCCCAGAAGGATCTCAGTCTTTTGACTCAGGTCAAAGCAACGAGTCTGCAGAACAGAATAGCTCAAATTTAGAAGATCGTGCTGGTGCTCAAGTGGTTTGCATCTGGTGCCTTGTATAGGAGGAAAAAGCAACTTCTGTGATGTAAACTTTAGAAGATGGATTTTGCTTTGAGAATACTCAATTTCACAAAGTGCCAAACTGTGTTTAGGGCTTGACAAAGTGTGAAAATGGGGAGAAAAAACTGATTGCAGCGTTGCATTGTAGACAACTTCAACTCCCTTAGGAGCAATTTAACTCCATCCTGAAGCTTATTGGCCTTCTGCTGGTATCCTGGCTGTTAAAAGGCTTTTAATCATCTTTATCATCTTATCTTTCTGGTTATAAATCTCCTTGTCCCTCCTTCCAAAAGCTTTTCCTTAATAAATTTGCGAGCGCGACTACGTGAAGAGCATTAAAACCAAAACTGACAACAGCATGGCACGTGGTGCAGCTTCTTAGTAAAATGATCTATAATACAAGGAAATAATTACCCACTTTTGCTTTGTTCAACAGTCAAAACTCTTCCTGGGATTCCGTTCCTCTGTAGAAATGCATGAACTATGGTTTCATTCCTTAAGACTGAGTCACGTTTCCTGCTGGAGCCTTGAAGCAGGAGCCTGAGCTCCTGAGTGTGTAACTGAGGCAAACAGGCAGAGGGAAGAGCTCAGTACAGTGCTGCCTCTTTCTCACACAGTGTTAAGGATTGTCCTCGTTGGCTGCTTGGAAGAAGTGAAAGCTGGCTGAGTCCTACGGTGTGGCAGTGCCTGGTGGCACGTGCTCAGGGCTGCCCTTGGGTTAGGGGCTCTGTCCAGGCTAGGGCTGGATTGCAGGTTCTCTTTTCCATTTTGAATCTATCCTTAGTTATAGAATTATAGGATCATAGGATGGCTTGGGTTGGAAGGGACCTCAAGGATCATGAAGCTCCAACACCCCTACTGCCAATGCAGGGCCACCAACCTCCCAATTTCACAGCAGCCCAGGCTGCCCAGGGCCCCATCCAACCTGGCCTTGAACACCTCCAGGGATGGACGGGGCATCACAGCCTCTCTGGGCAGCTGTTCCAGCACCTCACCACTCTCATAGCACAGAACTTCCCCCTGACATCCAACCTCAATCTTCCCTCCTTCAACTTCAAACCATTTCCCCTTGTCCTGCTGTTATCTCCCCTTTCCAAGAGTTGATTCCCCTCCTGTGTGTAGGCTTCCTTTAGGTACTGAAAGGCTGCAATGAGGTCACCTTGCAGCCTTCTTTTCTGCAGACTGAACAAGCCCAGCTCCCTCAGCCTATCTTTGAAGGGGAGCCCTGCAGCCCTCTGCTCATGGTTGTTCTCAACCAGCATTTGGAACTGAAAGCACACTCGTAGTAGAAAACTCTGCTTTGCTGTGCTGACAGCAGCATCAATTCCTAGTGAAGAGAATGCCTCAAAGGAAAAAAACTGATTCTATTAAAGATGCAGAAAGTGACAAGTATGTAGAGGAAATAAATCCTTAAAACTTTGAAGATGGGAATCCTTCTAATGTAACTGCATAATGACACAGTCTGTTCTCTACTCTATGTTCTTTTGTATCCTTTTTTTCTCCTCACACTGAGGCTGGGATGGGATTTAATAGTGCAGCTCAGACATTTCCAGCCTTTTTCCAGCCTCCTGCCTGGCTTTGGCATAGACTCCTCATTACTCACCTTCCTCCTGTGACCAAACCCTTTGCCAGGGAATTCTTCCTGTGCTCTCACTGCTCTGCTGTTAGCATCCACGTGTCTGTCCTGGGGGACTTTCCTGTTGCCTCTCCTTCATCTTCTGATTTCTGCCCTGGGCTGGGTTGCATCGCAGAGCGCAGGAGAGGAGATGGATCCTGCAGGACAAGCAAGCACAGCTGAGTTTTTCTCCTTCCAAAGCAGTGAAATGACTTTGGTCCCTCGTAATCTATTACATGTGGTTATTTATTGCCTCATCTTTTTCTCTGTTAGATGCTGGTCTTGTTCTGTTTCTTCTTGTCACCTCTTCCAGGGATTTACCTACGTGAGGAAAAACTGAAAAATAAGTAGGTTGCTTTTACTACTTTTTCACCTATTTTATTCTTCTTCCACAAGAAAAAGGAGAGTGAATGTTTACAGTTGAAGATCCTGGTGCTGCGTAACGAACTGGAGAGGCAGAGGAAGGCCCTTGGTCAAGAAGTAGCTTTGTTACATAAGGAAAAGAATACTTTACATGACAAAGGTGAGCATACAGATGTTACTGCTTTGCTGCAGGTGTTCATAATCTGAACAGAAGAGATTTAAAGCTGTGCTAAAATTTCCTGGAAGAAATCAGAAGAGCTGCTCTGTAGTGCAGTAAGCAGTAGCACTGGTACCATGCAAGTATATTTTAATGCCATGAAGGATGTTTTTGAGCCTGTGACTAGGATCCTATTCTAAGTGTTACAAGACAAAAATCATCCTTAGTAGCTTCTATAGCAAGTAAAAGGTGAAATGCTTAATCACTTTGGCCTTTTCTTTTGCACTGAAAGTGTCCTGTGGTGAAATGCTACATGGTTGTGCCTTCAGAGCTCACCAGCAGCTGTTTAACATGGATGTCTGATCTTGGTGGAGAGGTTTTTCTGAAATTCCAGTTAATTCTGGCTGTGTTTAAGCTATGTCAACTAAATTATGCTGCCACAGTGGCTGTGGAGGAAACAGGTCTTAAAAGAGAATGAGGTTTTGTAGGCTGCACTTGGCTGTTGGATGTTGTATAGGGCATGAAGAGTGACACTGCAGTTCCCCAATTTGGCAGCATGACACAGAAAATGAGCACCTGGGAGTAAATGAAAGGGTCAGTGCCAACACTTGGACTTTTTAAGGTTAGATACTGATGATAACTAAGAAAATCTTCAGTACTGCTTGTTCTTGTTTCCTGATTCCTCTTATTGCTTAGGAAATGCATTTGAGGCTGAGTATCAGAAGCATCAAGAGCGTAATGAATCCCTGCATGAATTAAGAAAAGAATGCACTTCAAAGAGGTAAAAGGACCCATGGTTTGGGTTTTTTTTTTTTTTCTTCCCCACTTGCCTGCAATTGGAAAGGAAGTGCAGGTTTGAGAGCAAGGCATTAAAAGGGACATCTGTGGTGCAGATTTCTTCCTGCTGTCACTGCTTCTTTTAAGAGATGCTCCAGTTCCTGGAAAGCAGAAGTGATAATGAACGGTAGCAAGTGTAGAAAAAGATGCTTTGTTGCACCCTAGGACTTTCCTGCCAATTTGGGTGAAGCACTGCTTCATAACAGTTAATTGTCATAGTCAAAACGTGCCTGTGGTAAGAGAGACAGCTGACAAAAAGCTAGCGTTGTCTCCTGCGTTTATCTTAATGCAGGTATTTTGCTGAGGGAAGGGGGGGTGATACTTGGGAAGGTGTGGGAAAGGTGATGGGTGCTGGTATTTATTGGAAGCTTTTGAAGAAGGTAATGATTCGGGGTTCTTTTTCCCCAAAGAGAACTGTTCCTGAAGACCAACGCCCAGCAGACCGCTCGATGCAAGCAGTTGCTCTCAGAGCTGTCCTACATCTACCCTATTGACCTGGTATGTTTCGGGTGATCTCAAATCTCTGCTTGGTGTAAGAAACAGGAAGCTCATACCTGCAGCAAACCAAGCCTCTGTTTTCTTCAGGATGAAGCTTCCCCTCCACTCACGTGCTGCTTTTTACAGCTTTTTCTTGGATTTGGGCCTCAGGCTGTAAACCTCACACGGAGAGGACTTATGCCAGCATCTCTCAAATAATCTACACTCTAAGAGTAGAATGTAACTATAACTTAATGGATACTTGCCACTTCCTGTATAAGTGTATAAAGCAACCCTGGCAGTAGGCTAGCTTCACTCTAACGGGGCTCACAAAACCAGATGTCAAAATATAGAGCTCCTCAGCCTTTCTGTGCACTGCATTAAGATAGAGCTCTTCCTCTTCAGAAAACAGAAAACCCATTTATTTCTGAATTACTTGAGATGTGGACTGAAACGTTACCTCAGTCTGTCTGGGTGTCATTGGGTGTTCAGTTTGTCTTTACAAGATGTGCTTTGTTGTCTCTGGGTTTTGTGTAGGCTTCTGTTTTCTGGCTGTCGTTGTCCCATTCTCACTTTGTTTCTAAACTTGCAGAATGACCAAAAGGATTACTTTGTTTGTGGAGTCAAGCTTCCGAACTCTGAAGACTTTCAAGGTAGCTGGATATTTAATTCACTTCTCACAGCTGCTTCCAAACTCAATAAAATTAAGTAAACTGATGGCAACAGTGAAGGATTTGCATTTCTGATTGGAAAGGTGTGGAGTGGAAGAAAACTTGCTCAGTATTTGGTCCTAATTCCTTGCTAATGCAATGGTAGTTTGACCCTCAGAACAGTGCCTCTGTATCTTGAGTTTAAATGGTGATGCACATAAATATGACTTCAAAGCTGCCTGACTACCTGCCATGGTATGGCAGTATTTTACAAGCAAGCTTCTGCTGTAGCTTCTGACATCATCTTTTTGCAGAAGCAAACACACACCTGCCTGTGTCACGGTCATACAGGTGGCTGTGTGCATTCATCTGCAGGTGTTGGATGTGATTTGGAACTGCCTTAAACTCTTGGAAAGGGGAGATAACAGCAGGACAAGGGGAAATGGTGTGGAGTTGAAGGGAGGGAAGGTTGAGGTTGGGTATCAGGGGGAAGTTCTGTGCTATGAGAGTGGTGAGGTGCTGGAACAGCTGCCCAGAGAGGCTGTGATGCCCCGTCCATCCCTGAAGGAGTTCAAGGCCAGGTTGGATGGGGCCGTGGGCAGCCTGGGCTGCTATGAAACGTGGAGGTTGGTGGCCCTGCATTGGTGGTGGTGGGAGGTTGGAGCTTCGTGATCCTTGAGGTCCTTTCCAACCCAAGCCATTCTGTGATGATCCTATGAAAATTCCCTTGAATTTCTTGTTCCCAGTGCTTGTTCACTCTGCCAGGCATATATGATTTCTGGGGCAAAAACTTCAATCGTGAGATGGTAGGAACTAATTTGTGCTACTGATTGGTGCGTTATTAAATGCCCAATTAATGAAGCATAATCTTTAAAGGAATCACAGAATGGCTTGGATTAGAGGGAACCTCAAAGATCGTGAAGCTCCTACCCTCCTGCTGCAGGCAGGGCCACCAGCCTGCAATTCATGGGAAGGCAGTGCTGTGCATCTTTTGTCCTGTCTCAGTGCTCTGATATTAACTCCTCGTTGAAAGAACGATTAACTCCTTATATCATAGGCTCTAGGAATACTGTATTACTGGGAAGAATTGCTAAACACTGAAGTTAATGAAATAGGGAGTTACATTTGAAAAGCAGCTAACTGTCTAATAGCCCTGTAGCCTCTCTTGTTCTAGGGGTCAGTGTGATGCTGGAGGTGCTGAGCATCATTAAAAGCTTTATTAGAGGAACTTAGATTAGCTGATTGCCCAGGGCTGGTTGTTATGCTGTTTATATTGGTGTTCTCTTGCAAAGAAAGGGGAGAAATCATGAAAAAAAAAACCCAAAAAACAACAAAGCAAAACAGAAAGGAAAAGAAATTTTTAGCTTTGAAAGGGTAAAATTGAAGGGAGGACACCCCATCAGCTATTTAGTAGAAGAGGCATTTAATAAAAGGAACAAATGGTGAACTGCAAAGAATTGTAAAGCAGTCCGTTGGCTTCACTTGCATCTGTTCTTAAGCTATAACTTCTGATAACTTCCTCAATTATATTGTTTGCTGAGCAGTGAGGATGAACTTGTGCTGAGTCTGCATGGAGATTCAATGGATTATTTAATGTTCTTTTTATCATTCACAGCAAAAGATGACGGAAGCATCGCTGTTGCCCTGGGCTACACCGCTCATTTGGTTTCAATGATCTCCTACTTCTTACAAGTGCCACTCAGGTATCCCATAATTCACAAGGGCTCCAGGTCTACAATCAAAGATAACATCAACGACAAACTGACAGAGAAAGAGAGAGAGTAAGTATGCCACCAGATGTACTGCTTGCTTCAAAGCAACAGGTCAGCAGTAAAGCACACCTGAACTCGAGCAGTCCTGTGTGCTCAGCTGGGTTACTGATCTTGAAGTTATTTGTTGCAGTCTTCAGTAGCTTTGCGACAGTACTTTTGAGTTTCAGGTGTCCAAATGCTGTGATCTGACAGTAGTTAGTCCAGCTTTGTCATCTGGGGTCGTTTGGCAGGCAGATGCTGTTGATGAGGCATCTGATAATGACAGCAAAACCTGAATAGTGTGCCTGGTAGGTAAGCTGTGGGTTCTGATGGAAAAGCTCACCTTCTTGTGTTCTTTCTGACTATGGGAATGAAATGCACGTAACAGAAGTTATAACATAACCTTTAGTGAGGCTGCCAGTGCTGCTGTATTGCAGTGCTTGCAATGAAATAAACAGCTTTCTTTAACACAGGGGATTTTGAACAGGTAGGAAAAGAGCATTATGGATTGTTACCTACTAATGAATCAGTGCTCAGTGAAGAGGTTTTCATCTGGTCTGTGTTCACTGACCTTCAGTGCGCACCTCGGCTATTGTTGTGCTGCTAGAAAACTATCTTGCTGTCCTTAAATCCACCCTGAGTGTTTTCTCTTGCCTTTTGGCTCTCTGCCTGTTTTCTCACTGTCTCTGCACCTGTGTGCTTCCTTAGGAAAGCAGTGACAATTACTGCCTAAGCTTTGCTTTGTAGCCTGCAGCTCAAAGGAATGCGGCGCTGACCAGCTGTGGGAGGCCAGCTGCTCCACTCTGATCCTCTGTGCCTGCAAACAGTTGCAAAGTCAGGTTTGCAGCACCAGTAACTTCCTTATGTGGTGGTTTTTTTTTTTTCTTCCCACTTGTAACGTTTGAAAAAGGAGCAAAGGAAACGGCTGGGGGAAAATAGCTGTCTGTATTTCCTGATTCAGAACACAAAACCTTCTCTTTGGATGCACACAATGGAAGCATTGTAGTGTTTTAGCAGCATTTCCTGATAGTTCAATCAAGATGGAAGGGTCTTTCCATGTTGTGCATAGTTGGGAGGGTTGGGATTCTTGAAGCATCCGATTTCTTTTTGAAGCTCAGTAACTTCTGGCAGGCCAGCAGAGGTAATTTGCCTTCAGAATTAAGCTGTCACTGAGGTCTTACTGTTCTGACAAGATAAAATATGGATTGCAGTAGTTGTCCTGCATATGATTTTTGATACCAGTTTAATAACTTGCCCAAACATTTCCTGGATAACTTACACAAACACATTAATGTTCTATTAAGAATTGTCGTCTAAGCATATGTAAATCCCCTCCATACATCTCATTTAGAAGAGCAGCAAGCTGAAATGTTTCTGTCTGGAAAACAAATTTGAGGAATAGAGCTGCCTGTGTGTGGGTGTCTGAAGATTAAACCAATTTCCTGTTGTCTGAGACAAAGTGGAAGGTTTTAGTCCTTGAGGCTCCAGCCTTCCAAACCCCCAGGACTCAGTGCTGTATTTCACAATAGGTTTCTGAAAAGGAGAAGGTTCAGCTAAGTGTATTAATCCCTATTGGGCTGTTTACCTGTGTTCTGTAAGATTGTTTCAGGATTAACTCCTGCCTGAGATCTTCTCTGCCCTGCTATTGGGGAGCCAGTCCCTGCAAACTCTCAGGTGACTTGAGTTGCTATAGGAAACCTCAACTGTCTTAACTTGCACTTTTCCTTCTAGTCTGATAGCTCGTGTTTCTCACCTGCTCCTAACTGAATGGAGCACAGCAATTAACATGATTACATTTCTTTGTTTCAGTAACCTGCCCTTGAGCAGTGGCTCGGTGATCCTTATGGGTCCCTTCCAACTTGGGGTCTTCTATGGTTCTAGTTGCTGGCACTGAAGCATGCACACAGCAGGGGGCTGTGGTTAGCATCTCTCCTGCATCCAGCCCCATTACTGTATGCCACTGGCAGGTATTGTAGATATTTTGCAATTGCAGAGGTGCTGGTATTTATTATCTACTCAATACCTGTTCCCTCTGTATCCTATTAATGCATTTGGGCACTACTAAAAGGCTGTATTTATGGCTTCCTGGTCCCTTTCAGCATCTTCAGAGTGCATCATACATATAAGAGGAAGCAGCACCCCTTCCAAAAGCTCTGAATACAGAACTCCCAAATTGAAGCTGCTTAGCACAGCAGTGAGTTCCTTCCAGTGGCAAACAAACACCCTTGCTAAATAAGCTACCTAAATTCCTTGGCACTGTGGAGTAGAAACACTTCATCTTGTTTTCATAAACGTGGTAAGAATGCTGAAAGTGAACTGGTGATGACTGTTCTGATGCTGTCTGTCAAGTCCTGCATTTAATGTTCTGTTAGCCTGCTCCCGGAGTTTTAAATAAGGCATAGCTTCTGATTTGTAGCAAAATAAGAAATGCTGTGTGGAATAAGACATGCTTTGAGTAACTGCCTGCGTTGGTGGTGCTGCCTTTGCCGTATTATTTTTAGATAGTCTCAGGTCTTGTCTTGAAATGCTGATGTAAGCTAAACATCTTGCAAGGTGAACACTGCTTTTTGCTCTATCTGAATCTCTGTTTGAATCTTTTCAAAGGATATTGGTCTTGTTGTTTGTTTGATTACAGTTGTGTGTACTTACGCATCTGTTTGAGAGTCTTTTGGCTTCTGTGCTGCCTCAAGGCTCTAATTACTCTCTGTGTTTTGTAGTTGAAGCTTCACGTGACTCAAGTTTTAAGTATAGAATACCAGAGCAGCTGTGGCTGCCACATCCCTGGAGATACCCAATGCCATGGATGGGACCCCGGGCAGCTGAGCTGGTGGGGGGCACCCAGCCCACTGCAGGGGTTGGAACTGGATGGGCTTTAAGGTCCTTTCCAACTCAAACCATTCTATGATTCTATTTTGTGCTGCCATTTATGTAGGCTTAGCTCAAACAAGACCACATTGTGTCAGCCCATTGTGTCTCGTGAGTGTAATCAAGATTTGTATATAATTACTGAGCAGTTGAAGTATTTCCTAGCTTTGAGACAAACCTGGGCAAACTATTTGCGTTTTTCACTTTTGATGAGATTGCTCCAACATAGCAGTGAAAGTGGTATCACAGAACAGCTGCCCAGGGCCCTCATCTGACCTGGCCTCAAGTGCCTCCAGACATGGGACATCCACTGAGTCAAGAATTTCCTTCTAACATCCGATAACATAGACTTAAAATGAGTTGTATTTCTGTAGGTGCCAAGAGCTTAGAGCCTGATTTCGTTTGTTGCTTAGTCCGCTTGGTAAAGCAGCAGAGGCACAAATCGTTAGAACCAGGTCAGTGGGATGAGGCCACCTTGTAATTCAACATGAAATGTGGATGGCTGTCAGATCTTCAGCACGCTTCTGTGTTCCTCCAGGATGTAAAACAGCCATGAGTTCATCTCAAGGCATCTTACTTACAGCCAAAGCTGATGGATGCTTGGCCAGAGAACCGTAGAGTTGTGTGAACGTTCAAGTGTTTGCATGGCTTTGTTGATTGAATCCCATTTAAACCTGCAGGGTTTTTAGCTTGTTTTGGGATGCTTTTAATTGGTTTAAGAGGCCAAACTTGAGAGAAATGGAGAAGTTAGAGTAGTCAGGCCAGGTGTACTTTTAACATGCATGTGTTTGAGCAGTTCATTCCGTGGGCTGGGGTTACATTTAAGACAAGCTTGTTTGCACTAATAAAGCAAGCTTCCATTTTACTGTGTGTGGCTCACACAGGACTGAGTCAAGCAGTCTCAGTTATGACCAGCAAGTTGTGATGCGAGAAGTTCTGCCTGTTGGACCTGAGGAAAGGAAAGCTGGCATCGAAGCTGATTCTGTGACAACAGTGCTTCCATGTTACCTACCTGGATTTGCAAACAAGAGGAGCAAAGCCTTGCTGAGCAGGCGTGTGGGCAGTGCTTGGGGTGCTGAGAAAGCACAGATTGAATGAGCTCAACCTAAGAGTGCTTCATGCTGCTGTTTCTAAGAATGTGCAAGCTGAAAAGGAGAGGAGGTGGTTATTTGTGTCCAGCTGCAGATAAACCACTTGCAACACAGCCATCTGAAATGCTGTGACACAGGCAAGTGAAGAATAACTTCACACTGATACTAACTTCATCCAACAGGACAGGGGAATCTTTAATCACGTTTGGTGCTTCAGCAGGGTTGATAAAATGGCAGCTCTGGGGGAAGGGGAGGAGGGGGATCTTGGCAAACTGGAATCAGATGGAGGGAGATGGTTTGTTGAGAAATCTAATAGCTGTCAAAGCAGAATTGATTCTTTGTGGTAGATTGAGTGCGTGTTAAGTGTTCAACTGTGTTGCTCAAAGAATGCTTTTTGCCATGAACTTATCTTGAACTGCTATTTCTGCCTTCCACATTCTTGAGGATATTTAGTTAGAATCCAGGGCTGTTTTATTCTTGATCACCAAAAATAGTGCTTTTTGCCTTCGTTGGGCCATCACTGTTACGGTGCACAGATTATAAATGACATCAGGTGCTCTTTAATGAACGTAGATGACATTAACGCTGGCTCTGGGAGCTTGACAGCTTGTGCATGCTGCTAGCCAGGCTGAGAAAGCAGAGTTTGCTTATTGCAGTAGATGAGCCCACCGCCCCCAGACATCCACAGCTGAAACATGTTTCTGTGAAGATGTACTGGTCTTTGCTTACTCCCATTAGAACTCTGTGCTCCTGATGAGGTTATTATTCAAAACATTACTTCATTTTTCAAGGAGCGAGGACTTGACCTCCTTCAAGTGTCCTCTGGTTAAAAACGATCCCTCCGTGGCGGGGAGATTTAGAGCTCTGATAGCAAGGCTGTCTGCTCTATCCATACAGTCAGTCTTTATGGTGTGATATTCATCACAGCAAGCCTTGGGTTCAAGCTGCAGTGTGTCAGAGAGATGCACAATCAACAGAAACCCATCCTTGTTGCTTGTTGCACACATTGCTGGCTGAGCTCTTTAGGTGTGTGAAAGTCTGATTTGCTGAACTAGTAGAAAGATATCTTCATTT